GAACGCCGCAACATTGACCGTCAAGAAAGACGCGGAACGAAGAGTGTTGATAATGATTGTACGCCAACGAATTTCTCGGATATCCCTAACCGAAACGATTCCTGCCAGCTGAAAACAGTTAAATGCTACCGAATCCGTGCCATCACACTGCCCCCAGTCGAAACCCATAGTCGCGCTGTTAGTTCTTGGAACCAGCAGCCGACATTTACGAAGAAACAAAATCCATGGCCAAAAACGTCCAGATGCGGAAAACATAGTCGAAAAGCAGCTTCTCCATAACAAACCCTCTGCTAGAGGTGGACGCACCTGGATTAGCCCCAGCCCCGTGTCAATGTAATCGGCTGGCGGCCAGCACCGTTTGCGAGGACTAGGAGAGAAATGAGGGCGATTTGCCAGATACCCCGTAGGAATCAGTCATTGCTTCCAACTAGCTAATTAAATGCGTCAGCTCAAAAGAAAAGTGAGCTGTGGCTTGGAATGAGTGCAGTTTTTTTACTGGGCTTAAATTAGGGACCTCGCCATTCCTCGCTTTTCAAGCGAAAACTTTCATCGCCTACTGCTAACAAACTAATCTGCAACAAAACTCATCAGCAAAAGCAAAACTTTAAAGTAATAATTTTTTAATTCCAAAGAAACATGGCCCTTTTCCCCGCTCTCATCACCCCACCCTCCAACACTAGACCCCGTGCTTCTACTGCCGAAAAAAATCTGTCAAAAACGATTTTGAGTACAGTTCAGTTATGGTAAACCACAGAGCGAGCAACACATCAAAAAAAAAACGCTGCAAATGTTTAATTGTAAATCTGCGCAATCTGAGTCTGAGGCTCGATTCCGGTGTTTAAGAAGCTATCCTCCACCGTCAACCTCTCACCTCGCACCCTTCCGCATTCAACAACTCGTGACATCACCGAAATTCAAAGCATCTGACTATTCCCCATTCCAAAAAATACACAAGTGATCAGCAGAACGAGCCAGGAAGTTTCTACGCGGCAGTGCAACTCGTGCACTTCAAAGTTCGGCTAAAAGTGACTTTAAAGAGAATGCCTACAAAGTTTTACCTGTACGCAGTGAAATCGAATTTTACAGTGCACCGAAGGATACGAAAATCGGTTACGCTCAGCGAGGCTCTGGTTGCTGAATTGTCTGCCAACGCATGAAAAGTGGCCAAGAAGAAGTGGATGCGTGCTGCAGAGAGGGCCGGCGATCAGGCAACAGCCTCGTTTTTTGAGCTGCCAGATAAATCCAAGCCGCACTACAAGCCGAGGAAAAACCAGCGAGCCAATCAGGGGACTGATAATGATCACTTCGAAAAGAGAGAGATAGGGAGTAGAGTGAACGAGAACACTTACGGAATAAAAGAGGAGGTAGGTTTTGAATGCGAACAGCGAGGTGTCCCGGAGCGTGTCCGCAATTGCACCGTAGCAACTGGCATTCCACGTGTGTATCATCTCATGACACGTTGCCCTGTGCACTCTGAGGCCGAGCTTCTCGGTGAGAAATTTGCTTAGAAGAGCCATTGCTTCGCCAACGCGGCACCCACTGCGCCCTAAAAAGCTCACATTTTTCAAACGCCCACAGGCCGCTGCTCCTGCATTCCAGAACACCGATAAAGCGGGCAGAAACCCGACACTTTAACGAACCACTGACAATTAGCCGAACGCATCCAAATGAACCGTCTTGGGAACCGAACGGCTTCATTCCACGCAAAAAGCAAAAGCAAAAATACACCAGAACTGGGGCGTCCCTCAAAACCTCACTTTATACGCCCAAGATAACAGAAATTAGTCAATTTCTCTACAGCGACAAAGAGAAGAGAAGCTTCAATTTTGTTAAATTGGTATATTTCCTGACAAAACGGCGCCCGTCCTAGACGCCAGCTGCCTGAGAAGGTACGCGCAGTAAGTAGATGTAAAATGAGCTCTGCTGATTTTGCGCTTGTGCCTCACGCAATTCAAAGATTTCTGCAAAAAAGCGATCTCGCCAATCAGTCAAGCTGGATTTTTGCGAAAATACGATGACCGAGATATTTTCAGTTCAACTTCAATATATGCTTGGGTTTCGCATACGCGCAACTGCATGTTCAGTTCTGCACTCACTTAACTCGGACGAGCAGGGATCAGTATTTTGCTGGGGATGTTTGCTGTTCATGTACGGGTCAGCGAGCGTCAAATGGGCTTTGCTTGCGCACCTGTGCCATGCACGGACGCAATAAGTGCTCAAACTGATCATGCTGCCATCATCCTGCTTTCTCGAAATCAGATCGACAACAAATCCAAAATTTTATGACACTACTGCATCATTCTGCCCCTGCAGGGATATGGCGAATTTCAGAAAAGCGGATATGGCGAATTTCAGGCTGCGTTCTGGTCCACAAAAACACTGATGCACCCTGCGCACGATGCGGTCTTTTCCTTGCCTAAAAACCACGCAGGGTGAGGGAAAACAATGGAAAAATTGTAGTGCAAAATGAGGCACAAAGGAGGAGGAAGCATAGCCAAAAGAGCTCAAACTTATCCAGAAAGGCGACGTGCAACAGCGAAACAAAAACGGTAAAATTACTCCGGTAGCGACGGATAACGCCCGAGCGCATCTGCAAACACAAAGGCTACAGCTACTCGATGTGCTAAAAAATGTTCAGTTTACGGAAATGGACAGAAAGAAGCCCTTACAACGAAGGAAGATGAACCGCAGCTTCTGGACGAACACACACACATACTGAGGCACATACAACACGCACGTAAAACGAGAAAATCACAGACACCCATATAAAAACATACAAACCACACACACATGCGCTGGTACAAACCGCCAATCTCAGAGCAACTACCAAACCCTGGCTCGGCTCGGCTCGGCCGGTGCCATACACGATCTGCAAACGATTTTTTCGAGTGCCCTTAGCACAGCGGCAAAGGAAGCTGAATGCCGCAGGTGAGGGAGTGTCGGGGGAGGGGAGGTGTGCGCGACTTCCAGGCCCCGGGATTGGAGGCAGGGAGTGGAGGTTGGGGTGGATGGGTTAAATAATTGTGTGGCGTAGATCCTTTGGCAATTGCACTGGCCATGTAAAGGAGAGCGATGGGGTAATAGGTGGAAAAAAGGAGGGAGCGTGCTCCTCGTTTTTTTTGCGAATACTTCGGCTGTTTCCAGAGTGCTCTTATAGTGGGGATGGAGTGCAGCTAAGATGTTGCTTTGCAGGAAGGATTTCTGGCGAAAGTAA